TTAGGAGTACTCCTAAAAGCAGGTGCACTAAGGTGTAGAAAGGAATCAACACGAGAAATGTGGTCAACTGATACTTCTATACGCCGTTCATTTTTTACTGCTGCTTTGTGGCGGGACCGATTTGAGCAGATATCAATTTTTTTACGCTTTGACAACAAATCAACCAGAGCAGAGAGAAAGGAACACGACAAATCAGCAGCAATAAGAGATATTTGGGATATGTTTGTTGACAATTGCAAGAACGCATTTGAGCCATACGAACATGTCACGGTTGATGAACAGTTAGTTTGTTTCCGTGGAAAATGCCCATTTAGGCAATACATAATGTCAAAGCCTGGACGATACGGTATAAAAATTTGGGCAGCTGCTGATGTTAAAACATCATATTTATGCAATCTTCAGGTATATACGGGAAAACCTCGCGGTGGTGTACCAGAAAAAAATCAAGGTTTCCGTGTAGTATCAGATTTGGTTGAACCGTATCACAACAGTTGGCGAGGAATAACTACAGATAATTTTTTTACAAGTGTTCCCCTCGCCAACTATTTGTTGACCAAAAAACTCACATTACTGGGAACTGTTAGAAAGAACAAGCCTGATACACCAGCCCTGCCAAACATAAAATCGAGACCAGTAGAATCGTCCATATTTTTATTCACTAAAGATCTTACAATGGTCTCATATGTTCCTAAAAAAAAAATAGAATGGTACATTTATTATCAAGCCAACATGATGACGATAAAGTATGTGCAGACTTACAAAATAAGCCAAATATGATCATAGATTACAATGCGAGTAAGGGGGGCGTTGACCATGCAGATCAACTTATTAGAGAGTATTCATGCAGCAGAAGAACAGCTCGATGGCCGTATAGATTATTTATGAACGTGATAGATATTTGTGCTTCAAATGCCTTCATTTTATACAATGAGAAAAATCCTGATTGGCAGAAAAATAATTACTCAAGACGACGATTATTTCTTTTACAAGTGGGAGATGATCTCGCTCGGAACAATATGGTGAAAAGATCCCACTACAAAAATCATAAGTACCGTGTAAAAACGGCTCTACGAGACTGCGGAGTAGTAATGGAAGACCAACATATTCCTAAACCACAAGCTCCTGCTAGAAAACGGGCCAGATGTTATGAATGCCCTCGAAAAGACGACAGGAAAGTAAACATAACTTGCGCTGTTTGTAGTAAATTTGTTTGTGAACTTCATAGAAAAAAGGAGCAAACTTATGTATGTACCAAATGTTTGTCAACGTGAAATGTTCCGAAGGGTCATTTATGTTTGTTACATAATATGTTTATTATTTAAAATGTGGTTCTTTTGTCGTGGAAATATATACATATAACACTATATTTTGTTATATTCGAAAAAATAAATGTTTCAGTTTACATCACTTTTTTCTAATTATATCTGTATCGTTTTTATTACCATTGAATATTTAGTTCAAAATACCTTAAAAAGCTTAAATTTTTCTTAAATACATTTGAAAAATTACAGAAACTTATGTTTTTGGTTGGGGTCCCTGATGGACCCCGTACCGGCATGTAGGTTGATGTTATGTGCACAGGCATTTAAGGGTTTTAAAATGTTGACTGAATTATATGTAATTTCTTACTATTCAATAAGCTGGTGATGTTTCAATGACAAGTTGTCATCCCATACTTTGACAGAATTTTGTTTCCAACATTTCATAGCTATTGGTTGCTAAAATTTGTTGATTGGAACTTGAAGCTCATTCGCTGTATCTGACCCTATAGGTGGAGAATAACTGACTGTTTTTGGTGAAATTGACCCTAAAGTTATTATTGTAGGAAAATACAAAATGTTCATACAATGTCCAATGTCTATATTCCAGCCCATTGTCAATCAGAATGCTACAAAGTTTGTCAGGTCAGGTTACCTAGATACCAGATTAAGACAATGAAAAGCAGTGAGGGGAAGCACAGTCGTTGAGAAGGTGCCTACCAATAATTGATAAGTAGTTTTTAGGAATTTAAAGCGCATATAACGTATCTCCTAAAAGTTTTGACACAAAATATTTACCGGATTTTTTGAATGAAGGAATTTATTTAAACATGAACTAGTTATCATACGTTACAACTCAATACTTAACTAAACTATACTATCGAATTATCAGGAGTGGCTCATTCTGCCCTACCAGACGCAAATTTCTTCGAATGTCTCTCATGAGGTTCTGGACAAAATTAAATAACATGCATTACATTTTGCTCTATCTGGATACTGATAGTTAGATATGTAAACAGTCTCTACTCTCACGAATTGCCGAACAAACTAAAGCAATTTGGAAACGCAGTTATCAATATAGCTGTAACTGTCCAAAGCTCCACCTCTCACTCTTCCCACAAAAGGTTGGGATACATCCCTGTTTGAAATCGTGCACCAGACAAGGATTTTATCTGCAAATTTCGCTTTGTGTTTGTATCTAATATTGTCAGTGCCTTCCTCTATGCTGTACGTATAAAATTCGATGTTTACCTTCATTCCGGAATATTCGACAAATGTCAGCTTTGGGTACCTGCCCAAACAACTTGTTGACACTTTTTCTTTTTTCTAATTTATGCGACATCTTGAAGCGAAAACCTCAAAATAAATAAATGTCAACTGACAATAAACAAACTTTTGTTTGCAAAGGCAACTAGATATTATTTTGTGTTTGTTAAAATTGAAGCCAATGAATTTTATGCCAAAACAGTTTTGGGTTAAAGGTTTAAAGTTGAACGTAGGATAACCCTAGGTTAAATCAGAGTAGCTTTGCACCGTCATGGTTCAATTCTGGGTTCATAAACCACTTTTCGTCACGGTGACAGCTTTGCAACATAAGGGTACCTCTATTTATTGACAATGCTATAAGAATATTTAGTTTTGTGTTAAAAGTTCATTCTGATTTGAGATTGGCTTGAATTTTGACATTGAGTACTTGTGTCTTGTGTTCTGTTATTATTTTCTATTATCGGTTGTATGTTATATTTAGAAAACTGTGTTTGGAATATTGGATCTTAAAAATATTTTTTACTGTGTTTATCAACAAGTATCATCATAGAGAAAAAAAAGAACTCACGAGCGACAAGGGTATTTTCAGACAATGGATATCTCCACCGGTATTAGTAAACATGATGAAAAGACGCAAATATCACGATATTGATTGGAGGCTCCATGTTTACCGGCACCCTGCTCCTATATCCCTGGTCTCAATAGCGCTTATATATGGGGTTGTAAACGAAAGTAAACGCATATTAAAACAAGAAAGATTGATATTCAAATCAAGGTGGGTACTTTATTTTGAAGGCTCATTTATACCACTTATGTATGAAAAATAATATCGCTCAAATGTTCACCACGACTGGATTTACAGACGTCCACGCGATGGTCGAAACTTTCAATGACATTTTGCAACATGGTCGGTTCTATGGCATTTATCGCGGCAATGATGTTGTTTTTGAGTTCTTGGAGGGTGGCTGGTTTGTTGACGTAGACTTTGCTTTTTAAATATCCCCATAAAAAGAAGTCCAAGGGAGTCAAATCGCACGATCTTTGTGGCTATGGCACATTTCCTCTGCGCGAAATCACGCGATCACCGAAGAAGGACTGCAATCGATGGATATAGACGTTGGTTGTGTGGCATGTTGCACCGTCTTGATGGAAATAAACATCGTCCATATCCATTCCTTCAAGTTGCGGCAAAAAATAGTCCTCTATCATCACGTGATATCGCTCAGAATTGACGGTAACTGCGTCCCCGGCCGCATTTTCGAAAAAGTAAGGTCCGATGATGCCTTTTGACCACAATGCACACAAAACAGTCACTTTTTGAGGATGCATCGGCTGCTCTTGATACTTACTGGGATTTTCGTTCGCCCAGATGCGGCAGTTTTGCTTATTTACCGTCCCATTCAAAGTGAAATGCGCTTCGTCGCTGAACATGATTTTTGATGAAAAATTGGCATCAATTTGGCGGTGTTCAAGGAGCCAATCTGAGAACGTTCGGCGCAAAAAATGGTCGGCCTGACGCAGCTCTTGCGTCAGTTGGATCTTGTAGGCATGTACATTCAAATCCTTGTGGAGAATGCGGAGCAAACTGGTTCTCGAAATGCCCAATTCTTGGGTTCGACGCGTTGTTGATTGTTTCGGATCGTCTCTCACACTCTTCTTCACAACAGCAGTATTTTCCGGTGTGCGAACGCTCCTTGGCCGGCCAGAGCCTGGCAGATTTGCCACAGAACCTGTTGCCTCGAATTTACGCACCAGACGACCGATGGTTGTTTCGTTTGGGCGAAATGTTCACGAAGCGCGCGAAACGTGTTTTCATTTTTGCACCATTTTTGTAGTGCTCTTGAATAACTTTAATGCGGTCTTCAATCGAATACGACTCCATAGCGATCAATGGTAAACATTCAACTAACGAAATGACATGTCGGTGACAGAAAACAAAGATGGCGTCTATGTCAAATTGACGTTTACTTTCCTGCGTCCCTATTGGACAACCCATTATTTCTGAATAATACCCAGCAGAAGCATTTTCTCTTAGTGAAATGTTGGTACAAGATCCCTTTATTACAATAAAAATTCCAACATCACAATAAATACTCTCAAAGCTTTGGACCACAAAATGTACAAAAACATATAGACATAGGTATTGAACCTTTTGCAGTGTCCAAAGTTATATACAATCGTGATGAATGTTAAGACATTTTATCTTTTTCAGCTTGTTTACGTAACCTAAATCATAACCGGAAACAAAACAGCAGAAATGACGATTACAACAGCAGTCACAACAAAAAACAACCAAAGGAAACCAGCGTTCCATTAAAAAATGTCTTATCGCTGACTTTGTACCACGTGAAGGGTAAATCTTTTACCTCAACTCAGAAGAAGTTATGACGGTCTCTAACCCTCACTTCAACCGGAACCGGTGAATATCACTGCTAGAAAATTAATTTGAAATTTAGATTCCAGTATAATACCTACACCAAATGATGTCTGTCACAGCGCCAACGAACAAATGACTGCATCCCTTCTGCATTCTGCCTCCATTGGGAAAGAAATCCACGTGACCCATGGGCTGAGATGACCCTAGGCCTCCCAGGATGAGATTTTCTCCATTACTGTGGATGACGTCTACAAAAGCTGCGTCTGTTTCGTCGAGTCTTGCTCTGGGGTCTTGAGCCTCGAAAAGGGGACCAGCTGGATCCAAGCCTGCCAAAAATAGAGAAAAAATAAGATCAGTATCACCACAGTAACAGATAGTGGATATCGTCTCTGATATTTAATTACTTGACTTCAAATCCAAATTTTCATTTTTCATTAGACAATTGACAAATTGTATTGGGTTGGTCAAAAAGAAAATATGAGTGTGTATGAATACGATACAGTTACGGAATTAAAATCATAGGCAAGACAAATCTGAGAAAAGATAAAATATGGATTGGAAAAACATAGATAACATGCAGAGAGCTATATAAATAAAATATTAAAAAATTATGTAGATAAACACATACACAAAGAAAAAGGAAATAAGATATAATTAAATAAAAACACATTAAAAATGACGTAGAATCCACAGTTAAAACTTAGAATCAGACGGAGACAAAATCGGATCCGGAACACAAACATTTATTCGCCAAAAACTGTTTTAATATATACTTAAAGCATTTCATACTTGTGAAGCCTCAGTTTGTAGTCAGGATGAAAGTTCATACTACAAGGGTTAATTTTTTGACAAATAATGCCATATAAACATATAGGCTTCGATTCTTCTGATCTACTCGAATTCGTTGGTTGGAATAGAGAACATATTTGAGGTCATGTGATCATCAGTGGTCAAATACATTGGTAGAACGCGTTGTTTGTCAAATATTCGATTGTCTGGATATTTAATAGAGATTCAATGTTACTAACCAGTTATCCTGCTGAGGTTCCCCAAATCAGCTCCCGTAAATCCTGCGATGTGAGCTCCCAGACTGAACCCGATAAGGTGCGTGTTCCTGAGCGACAATCCATTTTTCTCTACCAGGCCACGAAGAAGGAGGCTCAGTTGCTTGCCTACGAGCCTTGTGTTGGCGGAAGCCTTCACGTAATTGGGAAGAGCCGCACCGTTGCTCCAGTCTACGCAGATGATGTTCACCTCTTCCTTGAAGGGATAAGAAAGTAGAAAGTAAATACTGTGTATTGTTACGCTCTAGTATAGAAGAGACGTTGAGCGGCGAGAAGTCGCTTTGCAAAGTCGAGTTAGGCAGCCAGAGTTACGTGACCGTGTATGGAGCGTGATTAATTCTGTACCTTTCGCGATTTAATCGCGGGTATTCAAAACGAGTACTTCCATGGAAGTTCACGACCCTGTCTGGGAAACGGTGGAGCATTTCTCGACGCTCGATTGGTGGATAAATACCCGACTAGATGGCGGAAGCAGTCAGTCATAGCTAAGACCGTCAACGGTGTGGAGTTAGGGTGAAATAATAGTCCAGTCGACATCGTTATAATTTAACTTAATTCAACTTAATTTAAATAAATTAGTTGCAAGTGTAATTAATTAGTGTCGCAGAAATAAATTTGTCTTTGATTAGTAAGAAGGGAATTTGGGTGTATCTCGACAACAACTCAAGTTAGAGCTATCAGATCAATAATTTCATAATAAAAAACGCTAAGGGAAGCTATTGAAAATTATCTTAAGCATCCAAAAATAGTCATTAGGGGGCAAAACTGTAACTTGAAAAATACAAATGCCATTTTTTCGCAAATATTCGTAATCAACATATACCAGAAGTATGTGTTCCCATCATACACTTTTTCATAAATTGACTGGTACCCCATTACATTCTAGAGTTCTAGATGTAGAAGTAAAGAGTTCACGTAGACCTTGACGATTTTCTGATTCATTAGAGTTGGGTGCAAAGTAACCCCTATGAAAATTAGAGGTATTGAAACCTAAATAAACATGAACATTTACTATTTTTGACATTGCTATATACCACGCATGCTCCAAAACTCATATAGAGCTGTGCTTATACTTGATTAAGCACAATACGATTTCAACAATATACCATTATCGTTATTACACCTTGAAATGAGAATAAAGTACCCTTGAGACAAACCTACTTAATTCAACAAGAAAAGCTTTTTGTGGCTTCGATTTTATAAGATTTTGTATATATTTTGTATGAACATGATGTAGTAGCGAACGAACACACTGCAAAGATATTGTTATTGTTAGCTGTTAGAGGATGTTAGGTGTTGCAAATAATATACCGCCTGGCAATACCTAGCAACAAGGATTCTAGATAGAACAAAGTTAAGCATAAATGAATTAAGGTGTTTTACTAATGAGACTGAAAGTCCGAAAGAATTATAAGCTTATTACAATAACAAAATAGAATATTTTATAGTATAAAAAAGAAGAAATACGAAAATAGCAGATAATAGCTAATAAAAAAATGACTAAACAAGTTAAATTGTGATTAATAAAATATTAACTGATGATTATTATATCGAGAGCCTAAAATATGCATGAATATTGAGCCTTTGAGTAATAAATTCCACTATTTTGGAAGGAGCAAACTGCTTCCTCTGATATCACCCAAGAATCACTGTTCAAATAGACACACAGTTGCCTGGTCTTCTCTCTGCCATCACCATTCAGTTTGTCCGAAACAAATTCACTGATTTCTGCAATCTCCAAGCGCAGCTGAGTTCATTCATGGCTATCTCTGACTTCATCTGACTGAAACTGTTTAGTACAATAGCAGCAGCAGTTTTAATCAGTGCATTCCAGGTTAGTTGCCTCATCTTTGATCTCAACCTCATCAGTGGTATCAGGCTTAATGTCGACTTCATGATCTGATATACTGATCTCTTCTGTCACGCCCAACAGCGTCTAATAAAGCAAAGCTTGTACTTTGTATATGGTGTTCAATTAGGAACTACCATCTCCATCAGGATGATTGCACCGTTTTCGTCGGGGATACCCTGAGACCATGGCATTTAAGGATGTCTTAAAATCTGGCAGAAGCCTAGCACGAAGTGAAATCAGTTTCACTATAATCTTGGCCAGCAACTCTAGATAACCTTTATGATTTAAATCGCTCACCCGTATTCCACAAAGATGTATCTATATTAATGTTGGCGCCTACTTTTGATAAGACAGCATCACACGGCTTACTTTGATATTCTCTGCTAACAGAGAGAATAACTAACTGATTTTTTTTGGGCTAAGATGACAATTTGCAAACCGTATTCTTCTGAGAATACTGGCAACGATAATCATCAACACCTACAACAGATCGTTGCAATATGACCATTTTATTAGATACTTCCGAATTTATACGACTTGGCAACTAGTGCAGTATATTGATAGGCTTCACAATCACTGTGGCAAGATATGTCGTGTATATAAAGAGGGTTAGCGATTGGTCCTGAGACCGAACCCTGAGGGACACAGGCCTTTGTTATAAACAAAACATTGTTCACTTTGATCCGAAACTTCCTTTCTTCTCGGAAAGGCTTTAATAGTTTTAAGAGCCAAAATGGTAAGCTCTTTTCAGCTTTTCAAATGCCTTTTATGGCCGTTGAATTTTCAAAAGCTTTCCACTCAATTTACCACCAAATCTTTTTACCAAAATTGAATTATTTAGGACCTTCCGAAAAGACTGCGAATTTTTTTCAGCACCAAATGATTGGCAGAAGCTAAAAAGTTTCATTAGGCAACAAAATTCTATAACTTAAGTTTATAAAATATGGGGTGTCACAAGGTTCTGCTTTAGGGCCACTACTATTCACATTATATACCTCAAATTTAATAAAAGTTCTTCAAAATTGTAGAATAATGATCTACGACGATAATACCCAAACGTATCTATCATTTCACCAGAATAATGATGAAAATGCTACCAGACTTATGAACAAGAATCTACAGGTAAGCTATAGTTATGCAAAGGTCAATGCTCTTAAATTGAACACAGTAAAAACCAACTGATTTTTTCCGGTCCAAAAACGGAATCCAGTTTTTTGAAGGACAACAAAGTACAGTTGAAATTTTCCGACCATGTAAGAACCTTCAGCGTGCTCTTTTTGATGAAAAATTAAGGGGCCGAAATTACGTCTTGTTATAGTTAAAAACTGCTGTTCAGCATTAAAGCTTCTGTATACCAACAAAAATATTTTGACCAAGTTGTTCAAGAAAATCCCATGTGGAACACAAGTTGTTTAAAAAATTCTTCAAGGTATGCGATTATATTATCCCTGCCTAGACCAATATACGTCAAAACGTTCGCAGAAAATAGAAAATTACTGTTGCCGTCTGATACACAATCTACAAGGTATGATTACACATTACGCCATATTCCTATGAAATGCTCCATAAGAAATCTTTAGACTTGGACAGAAAATTGATTCCTCGTCATAGTATCATCCAGCCCAAGAGAATCATTCGTTTTCTAGATATATTCACTGTGCCTCAACACAAGGCTTTTCGATAATCACAAGACCTTTCACATTCAATGCAATCCTCTACCAAACGACCTGAAAAATGTATATCTGAAGAAGTTCAAGCTAAATTTTAAAGTTGCAACTGCTGCATATGTAATTGTAATGGTTTCTAGTATTGAATTTTTACACTGCTTCATTTTAACGCTTTTGGTGATTCTGTATATACAGGGTGTTTCAGTTTATTGTTGCATAACTTTGAGATTCGATAGAACTTTTAAAATTAATGCATAAAGTCTATATAAACATGGGTCGAAAAATGCGTGGCTTCCGAAATACAGGGTGTTTAAATTTACTTTCTAAAATAGTTTATTTTAAATATTTTGAATAATATTTGATCTATAATAGTGAAAATTGGTATACAAGGGTTTCTTGGTACGACAAAACGAACCATGGGCATAGTTTTACTGTAGCCGCTGGAGGGCGTTCTCTACTGTACCTGTTGTGTATTAAAATGACCGAAAAATTTTTCTTAGTGCAATTTTTTGCTTTTTGAATAAAAATACTGATTCTTCGCACTTTTCAACATAAAAAAGCTCTCTTGTGAATTTTCGTTATAGTTAGCCGTTTTTGAGATATTTCGATTTTTAAGGTTCGATGCATTTTTAATTATTTAAGATAAAATAAAGTTAAAAAGACAGTATCTCGATAATTTTTAGAATTCGTCTGTGCCCGCAAATATTTTTGAAATTGAAAGCAGAATAAGGTTAAACGTCAATTAGTTGACAGTTAGTTTTGTTGTCTGTTGAAACCTGAAACGTTTTTTTGCAATTGTGAATGCATGAAATTTAGTTTCTTTGACCTGTTTTTTTTTTGTAAGTTTTATAAAAATGCCATTTTTATTCTCCAATCAAGAGTCAACGGATATTCATTTTGTGTATGGCTTTGTAAATGGAAACGCAGCAGAAGCAGCCAGAGAATACGCACGAAGATTTCCAAACAGACGACATCCAACTCGCTCAGTATTTGTAAGAGTGCATCGCCGAATAATTGAAAATGGTTTTGGAAATCTCCAAAGGGATCACAACATGAATCTTCGTCAGCGCAGATTTACCCGTATGATTCTGCGTGAGTTTGATAGAGATCCGACCACAAGTGTTAGGAGAGTTTCTGGTGCCTTGGGAATTTCAGCAAGCCATGTTCACCGTGTTCTTAGAAATGACCATAGACGTCCTTACCATTTGCAACCTGTGCAAGGACTACAGCCAGGGGATGGAGAACGAAGAATCATATTTTGTCAGTGGATTCTTGATAGAATTGATAATAATAGGGAGTTTTTAAGTAACGTTTTATGGACCGATGAGTCATGCTTCACTAGACGTGGAGTGATAAATTTTATCAACATATTTGGTCGCGTGAAAATCCGCATGCAGTTCGGGAAAGAAATTTTCAGCATGAATTTAGTGTGAACGTGTGGATTGGTATCTACCGTAATCGACTATTTGTACCCTACCTACCCTAATTTTTAAAGGCTGAACATGCAAATATGTGGGATGATGTTATGTTAGATTTAAAAAGATTGGCCTGGTTCCAGCTTGATGGTTGTCTAGCTCATTATTCGAGAATAGTTAGAAACTGGCTGGACGAAAATTATCCAGAAAGATGGATCGGCCGTGGAGGACCAGTCGCCTGGCCTCCACGATCCCCTGACCT